CAACACGTAAGCCCAAAGATTTCGAGTGGAGTGGTGTATGTGTGTATGAATAAACTAGCCCAATCAACAAGTAAGATGGATTAAAGAGAGTATGTAGCAAGTAAGAGATCAGGTATTGTTAATCGGTTAATAACTCCCCAATACAATACGCTTGTTAAAGGCTCGTCGGCCGTACGTCTTACAGAGCAGTGGAAGATCTGCGAGTAAGAGGAATATGAACTAGAGTGCTAAGAATAGTAAGTTGTCAACCCTTTACAATGAAATAAATGTTGCTATTTATACTACCAATGGGCAGTTGGCCAGGATGGCATGGAGGGCTGCGTGTGGCTGGTGTCTCAACCACCAAATCCTCAGCATTAAATGCGCTTCCCGCCAGAATCTGGGTTTCCCGCCTAACTTGTGGAGACGTACGTCCAGCCGGGATGGGGGCCTGCTCCTGATGATGCTGCAAAGGGCAGTGGGCCGCTCGTATCCTGGCCCTTGGAGGATTTGTCACTTAGATTGGATTAGCATCAAGTGGTTGTGGCTTGGGGTGGCGACGTTCGTCGCCACTGAATTTGCCCGTGGGCTTGATCCGACATTACCTGTCCGGACGTTCGTCGGGATGGGCTACCCTGTTGGGCTGGACGCTCGTCGGAATGAGGGGGCGAATGGGCCGGCCCCTTTGCTTGGGCCATTAACCCAACAAATATTAATGTTCCCATAAACACATGATGGGTTTATTCTGGTTCAATTCTATGGTGCATGTTACAAACTCATTACAGAGATTCCATACGATCCAGAGATTGGAAAGAAATAAAAGAACTACTAAAGTCAGGAATGGTGATGATCTAAGTGTTGAAGCCGTAGGAACTTTGCAATTAGTTATGCAAGATGGTCATTATATTAACTTATATGATACTCTTTATGTATCGAGAATGACCAAGGATCTAGTATATGTACAAAAGTTAGACAGTGATGGATATTATGTAACATTTGGTAATAATAAAGTCACTATTAGTTTAGATTTTGACATTATTGGTCATGGTTATTTGGATAGAAAACTTTATAAACTTCACCTAGATGACCAATTCTCAAAATCATTGTTGTCATATTATGTAAACTAGTGTTTTACCCGGACGTTGCCCGGGTAGATTTAGAGAATGTTTGGATACATTGTAAGTTATATATTTTTGTAACATATAAATAATTTATCATTTTACTTTAAATAAACGTTTGTTCGCTATGGATAATAAATTAATTAAAAGGAATATACTACCTTCATCCCGTTTAAAGGTTCTCATGACAAAACGACATGATTATTTACACAATAATTAAATAAGATAATTCAAGTATATTTTTAGAAATATTTTGATATGTATATGTATAATCACTACAAAAAACATGGGATTGACAGAGATTTTGACAGGGATTTAGCAGGGATATTTGGCACGAAAAATCGATAAATTTGTGCCGAATTCCGTGTCAATCCCGTAATTTTTTGTAGTGAATATAATTGGATTAGTGGTGATAATTGTGATGTTATAGATGTGTTATTTTTTATATTTAATGATTAAATTATCATTTAAGTGTGACAATTGTCTCACAAAATAGAAATGAGAACCGTTATATGGTACGTCCCAGAAAGAAAAGTGAGAACTTTTATATGGGATGGAAGGAGTATTAAACACTGACATTGTAATGTAAAACACCATAAACGCCAAATATCACATTGTTAGGTTTTGGAAAACCTCCTTATAAACCACATTCACCGCCTTGGTGAAGAAATTTATTTCTTTTGAACATATGAATATATTAAGACGTGTTTATTTATTACTTTTTGTTTTGCAATGTAAAATTGGCCTTTATTGAAACTTATTTCTCAAGGTATACATCAATTTTTATCAAGAATTTATTTCAAAATCCATACATATTGCTTAAAAATCCATATAAATAAATTTTGAAACAACTCAATTTACGTATTTTGTGTATCCCTAATGCATGGACATCCAATAGAAAGTAGCAATGCCATAATATTATGGAGAATAAAATAATAAGAAAAAATAATATTATATTTAGTTCGAAATATCACAATATGTATGTACTCACATTTAACTTATTATATTACGTAGTATATATTTGATCAATATTATTTTAATGCTTTACTCAATATCTATATATGAAATGAATATGGAGAACGCAAATAACAGGAATTAATTTGATTTATTTATTTTTCTTATCCTAAATACATGCACATTTAGTGTAATATACTATTCCCATAATTTTATGCAGAATCTAAAATTATAGATAAATATGGTTTATATTTATTTAACAAAATCAAACAATGTGTATGTAGTCACGATTACTTATTACATCATACTTTATCAGTATGATTTCAATTTTTATTTTGAAAATAATAATTCATAGTTTTGAATTCTTCTCATGTTTTAAATTTGAAGCATGACTTGAAAGGTAATTTTATTAGTATATGTAAAATATCAGTTATGAGAATAAATGAGAAAAATATACTCCATATATATCAATTAGTTTTTAATCATTGCCTCTAATGTTTTGAATACACCGACTTTTTTATCACATATTTTTCAACAGAAACTATTGTTATCACTGGGTATCTTATGAGAAAACTAATCATTATACTCTTATTACTATTTTTTTTTAAACCAGAAATCCACCGGACTCGGTGAGGTAAGAGCTGGGGAACTCTTACCAATTTTTATTAATGTATTTATTTGAAAAGTACAAACGCAAATGAGAGAAGAAAGTTTTTATCATCAAATCCAACTAATATAATAAATCAAAATAATGTTCGTCACATGGCTCATAATACAATCAAAGAAAAAGAAGCAAACAAAATGATAAAAAGTCTTATGTCTGTCGTCCGCCAAAATGATAAAAGGCCTTATGTCTGTCGTCCGCCCTCGAACCAGACTGAGAATCTATCACCTCTGTGGAAGCCTTATTTGTCAACAAAATTCTCCATTCGCTCGCACGTACGGGTCCTTATCTCCACCTGAAATTCGCAGCCACACCTTAGCAGGCCCGTCTCCTAGGAGCAACCTCCCCCCGAACCTCGAAGACGTCGAAATAACTTGCGAGAGAAGATCCTTACTCCGCCGAGACCTCCACAAAATGGGAAACCAAGCACCAAAACCGAAGCTTTGAAGAACTCGAAACAAACCGCTCTCCTCTCGGCTGACCAATAGCGGCCGAAGCAGCCTTAGCAAACCGGCGGCAAACAAAGACCTAGGCGTTACCGGATGGTAACCCTAGAGAGAGAAGCTCCCGAAATCTTTCGGGCCTAATGAGAGAAGAAAGTTAAAGATACTCAATAAAAAATACTCATTACAAATTTATTCTTGTGTGTGTGTAAATTAAACAAACTTAATATTGTCAAATAAAAAAATTGTAGTGTGTTTTTGCAAAAAAAAAAAATGTGCATATGAAATAAAATTAGTTAAATTACTTTTTCACAGAAAAATTATACAAACTATATTAGAATTGAACTAATGTTTCTCGCACATGATTGATCATCCGTGCACCGCACGGGCTTGAAATATGGTATTGGTATATGAATTGAATCGAATATGAAATATATAAAATACTTCCAAATATGTGTATATTCGTGGAATGGAATATACAAAGTATTTCAAAATACATAATGAAAATTTTCAAATTATATGCGGTTTTCTAGAACCATCTGGATAAAGCTTCCAAAAACATGAAATGAACAATATTAAAAAATATTTCAAATATACGTAGTATCTCTAAATGGAACGCTTATACTCTTTGTAGTTTATTTAGAAATTGATGCTCTATAATATATGTAAATACTATGAATTTAGGATTTAATTTCAATTAATGACTATTCACTCATTGGACTGAAAAGTAACTAATCGAGAAATCAATTTAATTAGAAGGTTGTACTTTATTATTAAGTAATATAATAAGTATATGTGAGTATGGTCAGTGACTCAGTGTACATTTAGGATGTTTTCTTTTGGACTGAAATTTGAAGGTATGGTATGGTATATATGATCTGTTTAAGTCTGGTCTGGTCTAGTAAACGTTTGGTTTTTATGTATTTTATAACAATGGAAGTCTGGTCTGGTCTGATCTGTTTAAGTCCGGTTTGGTCTGTTTAAGTCTGGTATGATCTGGTCTGGGACTAAAAACAGTCCAAAAGAAAACATCCTTAATTATATTTGAAGTAAATATTTCAGTATTTAATTGCTTTTCTTTCTTTGGTAGGTGCTTTAATTATCTCATTAATTTAATGGGTAAAAAATGTTAAATACATGGAATGAAAATACGTGTCTTGAGAATCTATTAGATGTACTCAATAGCAATACTAAACTTTTGTAATTACAACCTCTAAAACTTGTGTACTCAATACCAATATTAAATTGTGTGTAGTACTTAATAGCAAATAGTAGACAAATCGATTTCAATTTGAAGGTTCTACTTTATTATTAAGTAAGTAGATGAGAACTGACTTAAAAGGAAATGAGACTGGGAAATCTCATCCATGTTATGACATTAACGTTTAGGTCATATATCACGAAATCGAATGTAAAGACTCGTGAGCCGTGAGGGATGGAGTATGACTAACTCTTGACTTCAATGACTTTGAGACATGTGTGAAGTACATTAAAGGCAAAATGGCAAAGAAAAATAAAAGAGGCGCAACAAAGAGTTCTAGTTTGTTAGAACTTATACCCATTAAATTAAATGGCAAAATGGTTTGTTAAACCGTATATACACAAAAGATATCGGGATGGTTTAAAAATATAAACAATTGTATTTCATTTTTTTTTTGTCTTTCTTTCAGTACAATATCACCAGTCCACCACTAGCTTTCACTCTTAGTACTTACTACCTTTGTTCCTAAATAAATGCAACAATCTACTTTTCAAGTTTGTCAATCCACAAGTCCACAACAAATAGTATATTTAATTGTCTATTAGTTAAAAAAAATAAAGAATTTGAAAATTTACAATGAGACCAAATTTAACAATATTTTTCAAAATAATTAATTAATACATTAATGAATAAAATGTAGTCAAAGTACCTCATTTTATTTTCATATATTACACATTGTATTTTATGAATTTTTTATGTTATTGTTGATATAACATAAAAAAAATTATCAAGAATTCTAATCTATTTAGAATAAGAACTGAGCAATAAGAATAAAGTAAACATAACAGCTTTTAGCTACACTCGGTATGAAATTAACATTACACCACAGTTGCTCCGTAAATATGCTTATTCACAAATGTTTGCAAACCAATAACAATCCAATCTACCGACTTTAGCCTTTGAGATGACCATTGATAATCTCACATTTTTCAAGTTAGCTATGTGAGCCTGGAAGTGGAGTTCATGCACGTACAAAAAAACCGGCCGTGTATATTTGGGAGAATCATCACTGTTGTCCTTGAGGCGGCCTGTGCTGCTGCTGCTGATAAGAAGGGTGATTTTGGGGGACATTTTGAAGAGGCCCACCACCATTACCTACTTGTATATTTTGGCCTATATTTCCGAATGTCCCATGCTGCTGTTGGTGTTGCATTTGCATCATATTTCCAGTAGGATTGCTTGTCCCCATGTTGAACACTATCCCATTTGGTGCATCACAGTTAATAAATGATGGCTAATTCTATTTTTCTCAACAACAACAAATAACATGCATAAGAAATCCAAAACATTAGACGAGGAGATAGAGTGATGGACGTGTACTTTGATCACTTAGACTTGAAGCAGCCAAAGACCGATTGCCACTCGACATTCCAAACTGACAAGTTATTAAAGAGAATATCAATACTCTTAAAGAACTGAATTGCACTGCAGAGCAAAGTGAAATGGAGTTCTGAACTCAAATAAGCATTTTCATAAAACCACCTAGGCGAGAGGATCTGCCGAGTGACTATTTTCTTTCCCACTTCGGCCTGCTTTATCAAACTAGGCACTAGGCTTCTGTAGGTGACCTAGCAGATGCCTAGTGCTTTTTACCGAATTGTCCAAAGTTATTGTTTTGTCCGCAAAAGAGACAGTCATGGCGTCATTGTTGACATATTTGAAATCTGAGATTCAATTCCCCTCCCCCTTCAAAAAAAAAAGATTTAATTCCCCTCCCCCCAAAAAAAGAACAGTACAGTTTAAAAACAGACACTCACTCTCATGCAGTGAGGAGTAAAAAGTTTACTTCTCAGGGGGGAATACGTAGTTGTTTCAACTTTCAAACATAAAAAAGGGCAGCCCAGTGCATATTGGCATCCCCTCAAGGTGAGGGTCCGGTGTATAACATGATGCCCTTGAGAAAATATTTTGATTCACAAATACTTGTACAGTTGTAAAATTAGAGATTTAAATATCAAAACAAGAAAAATATGCATCTCAGTATATGTAAAATATGTAGCTACATTTCAGGGTCAGTATATTCACAACATTTAATTTCAATTCTCAGTTAATGCCCTATGAGGGAACAAGGCAAAGAAATGAAAAAACGGACTGACCATCTGGGATGTCGGCCCACTCTGGGCAGGATTAAAAAGTGCACTATTCACAGGGCCAGAAAATTGGTTCACCATACGATTTAGCTGATTTCCTTGGTTGAGTTGGTTTTGACTCATAGCATGCTGAATAGCACCGGAGGCAGACTGCCTTCCCTGAAACTGCTGGGCTCCACCATGTGATTGAGAAAATTGGATTTGAGGTTGACCGTGCATCTGACAAATGCCATGGTAAACTATTGTTAGTAAATACTTACTCTTTCTATGATGATGAATTGATGATGATGATGACCAAGGATATTAAATATATTTTAAAAACTATGGGGATGATAACACAAACAGGTTAAGATTTGGCCTAGAAAATGCATTTGTGTGATCAGAACTATAACTCTTTACTTGCTCTTCAATTCTTCATGTGCTACAGGGACAGTATGCTACTTTTCTTCTTCTTTCTCACAACACATTGTACAAAATTAGCCCAAAAAGATAGGACAAGTGTCATTAACAGCTTTTCCTACAGTAAAAAAGAAGAGTAAGGTACAATGGGAGATTACAGATTGAAACTTCTGTGGACTCTGACCCTGCTGCAGATCTTGTTGCAGCTGTGCAAACTGGTTCTGCAAGCATAACATTGCATATAATGGAGAAATGTATGTATCTCAGCATGGAAAAAAAAGCAACTGCTCCATAAAAGCGTAAAATTATAGAAAAACAATAAGCAAAACAACATAGCATCTGTGTTTATTCTTTATTTCTGTGTGTGTGTGTAAGTTATGTGAACTTCTTTTTCTTAAAGTACAGTCTAATAACAAACAGGAGTTACTTGATTCAACCCAGTCATTGGGGATTGCCTAAATGTCTGTTGAGCAAGGAATTGCTGCTGCTGCTGTTGAGTTAACTGCATCAGTTTCTGTCTCGGCTGTGGTGGTGCCTGTTGTTGATGGGGCTGTTGCTGGGGAGATGGTGTGTTCATTGTCATCAGGTTTGTCCCGGAACGATTAGGTGAATTAGCATATTGTAAAGGAGATGCCGTCATGGTATCGATTGTGGTATTTCCTGCAGGACCACCTGGAGAAGCAGCTGCTGTCCTTCCACCATGTGCTCCCAAACCCCCCTGCCAAAAAGAAATAAAAAAATTAAGTGGTAAAAGTGTCAATAAAAATTAAGTCTAGCTATAGTAGTAATGTAGTATTATTGTTTCCAATTCTCAGTAAGTTTAGGACTTTGGGTTCCTAGTCCTAGTTGCTTTAGGCCCATGGTTTATCCGTATTAACATTTAACAATGGTAATAGACTTCAAAAAATATGATATTGTTAGTAGTAGTAATATATCAATATAAAGTACTCCCTACATCCCAAATTGATAGTCCCATACTTTTTAAACTTCCTCAATTACCCTTGTGTAGAAAGTTATATCCATAAAAATACTTAATGAGGATTGGAAACAATATATACAAGTAAGGTTAAAATGGACATGTTTTTATAGTAAAACTTCAAAAAAGGAAATGGTATTAGCAATTTGGGACACCTCAAAAGGGATATATGGGATTCTCAATTTGGGATGAAGGGAGTAATAGTTTATTCAACAAAAAAAGTATCTAAAGAGGATTTGCGTACGATACGTCCAAATCCTAAGCAATCATTAGGTGATCAAGAAGTTATACATCCAAAGCAAGTGGGTGACAGAAAGTCACAAAATACAAGGAGTGTTTGGATTCTTGACTGAACCATGTTCAATACAACATCACTTTGTGGGAGTTGCACTTAGATACTCTTATACTCTTATAGGCAAAGAGTGAAACACACAAAATAGAAAGTAATAGGAATCTGGCTAAGTAGGTTATTAATAAGAAATAATAATAAAAATAGTAAAGGTACTTGTAGTAGTATATTTAGAAGGGAAGGGGATATTAGTAATAGCTGACATATCCCTTTGTGGATATTGGCTATAAATAGATGGATTAGCAACGGTTGTAGGCAGGTTGTTATTTGATTTGAGTGTTGCCTTGGAGAGTGGGCTTCTCGAACAGTCCCGTTGTTGCCTTGTTACCTACGTTTACCTTCCCTATCAATAAACATTACTTTCAATACTTTGTGGCCAGATCTGTGTTTATTGATTACTGCTTTTGCGTGGATTGTACCAGTGTTCTGTCATTGGTATCAGAGCATAGCTCCTGGGGCTCGGAATTGAAGTGCGACTGCAGCAGAGCTATTGTTTCAGAGGAGGAGGGTTAAAACGAGATCTAAAAATGGAAAAGCGCATGGATGCGTTGGAACAGGAGATGAGGGCGGCTATGGCAAACCTCGCGACCACAATGAACGAACAGATTCAGAAAAGCATCGCCACTGCTATGGCAGCGATCGCAGCATCTAGAGCAGCGATGAAGGAACAAACTCAGTCCAGGGGAAGATCACGATCACAACATCATCATCATGCTCGATCATCACGTTGTCCAGCTTCTAACAGTTCGCAGATGCGAACTAAGTCTCCCAGTGCCTCACTAAGTGCGCAGGTTCTGTCGCGAGCCAGTATTTCAACTTCATCGCGAACTGTTTCTCCCAGTTCGCCGTCGCCAATCCCTTCTACTCGTTCACCGAATTTCATATCAATCGCCAGCATCTTCTTCAACTACGCCAGTCGATTCTCATTTTCGCCTTCTTCATCATCGCAGACTCCAACTTCAGCATCCGCCAGCAGTTCATGACCATGTTCGACGCGATCGAGAGGAGAAGCTTCCCGTTCACAATTGACATCGCAAGTCATTTCTTCTAGTCCGCAGATGATAGCCGAGTCCACTGGTCCGCAGGATTTGCCGCAAGTTCATTCTTCTCACCATGCGCAAATTTCTTCTTCTTCGAGAGCCATAGACATGGCTGATTCTGGAATTAGATTGTTGGAGACTACACCTTCGATAACGAATATTGAGGTTAAGTCAGTTAAATCTGTAATCAAGGAATCGAAGCCAGAAGAGCTCGAGGAGCAAACTACAGTTGCGTGTGAATCTGTAATCCCTCATTGATACCGCTTCTTCTATGAATGAGTCTGTCAAGTCAGAATTGGGAACCAGAGTGTTCAAGCTTAACTGGAAGACAGATGAGGGGAAGACGGATTTTGCGGGAACCACAATGAATGTGTTTACTTGGGGGAAGGAGTAGACAACTGCTTATACATGGAATCCTCTGAAGAAGACAGTGACTAGAAGAACTCATCCAGATTCCAGAATGGTTTCAAAATTCAGTCATACTAATGATTAGCATTGAACGGGTAGGCACGGTTTTGATGTTCAGAGATGAAGACAAGAGGGGATGGAAGGAAAAAGGGGGTTATATGAGCAAGCCCTCAGCAGTCGATGGAAGGATTGAAGAGCAAGACATTTACCAATAACTATGAGGAAGGTACAACCTACCAGGTTTTACTCTTAGGCTGTGGGTATAATTTCCAGGTTTGCAATATGGAAGAACCTTATGATGTTCACAAATCAGTTTCTAAGTATGATAGTCATTTTTCATTCATGCAAACCATACCCAATCCAAATTCGTCCACGCAAGATAGGGATGAATTTGCAAATAAACAGCCATGGCATATAAATTGTGTGGATGGATCTTGTCTTAGTGGCAGTCTTTCCCATAGCAGTGATGAACTCAATGGCACTTGTGTTTTAACTGCTGTTTGGTTTTATTACTTGAGATTTCACTCTTATGTACATCATGTGAAGTTCAGATCAGTTGTTCATCTTGTGAGGTGCAGCTCTAGAGTGGCTACTGTCCTACCAGTGGCTCAGATACACTGTGGTTATGAAGCAGATTCAGAAAGGGATATTATACACCTTCATCCATCAAAGAGAATTTTGGAAGGGCTGCATAAGTTGGACGGCTTCAGATTTGATGATGAAATTTCTGTGAAGTATGTCCAAAAAGGTGTGGGGGTAAGAATTACTGGAATTTGGAAGGAAAAGGTTGGTTATACTACTGATGGTTACATTGACATCTTTCTGGTGCTTGACAAGGAATTCAATTCTGCTCCTCCAAGTGGCCTTGATTATTGGTGAGAATGTAAGGAGAATGCTGACATATTGTATACAAAGGGAAGGTGCAGGTTTGGACTATAGTTTTTTTATGGCAATGGGTTAAGATACTCAGGAAAAGAGAAGAGGATTGGGAATTGAGGGCCTTAGCAAAACAATTGGGGAAGAATGATCCACAGATTAGTACAATTGAAGGATCAGATTCCACTCACTCAGATGTCAAGAATAGGGTGGCCATACAAAACTGCAAATTGGTACTTTCTGATTCGGGACTGAAAAGGCTGCTGGAATTGATGTCTCCAATAGCGAGCACCTGATGGATTTATCTTTGAAAACAGAAGTTGATAATAATATCAATGTTGCTATAGAATTGCTGGATGGAATGAAAATCTTTATGGAATTTATCAATGGGCAGCCTACACTTATAATTCTCCTATGATGCAATCCAAAGAGGAAACAGATGAGTTCGATACACGATTAGATGTGAATCATGTGATCAGCTTGCTTGGGGGCCTCTTTGCTATGTCCAAATGTGAGATCCAGGAGGTTTTTCATCCAGTAGTTATGGAAGTCCTAAAGAGGTCTACGGATAGAACAGTTCAAGTTTGGATGGGTGTCCTTAAAAAGGTTATAGTTTGTTTGCTATGTGGCCCCTTTAGAGATGAAACTCCTCAGATTATTTCTGCTTTAAGATACTGCTGGTTTATGATGAAGATGCTCGTAAGCAATTAAGTGTTGTTTTCTGTGAGGTAGCAGGTTGTGCCTTATCATCCATAAATTCAGAAAGAATCAAGACAGATGTTGTGAGACTTCAAAACACATCTGTGCTCATGAAAAGATATACATGGGAGAGGCTAGCTGAGATATACAGATTCTATTGTTTGAGCTGCTCCAGTACATCAGGTGCTTTTGAAGTTGTTCAAGGTCTTGACCAAGATGAGGTCAATTCTCTTAAAAAGAAGATGTTGGAACACAAGCAGAGGATTCAACAGGAGATGCAGATGCAGGGAGATTCTAACTTTTGCAGCAACAGGGAGCATTCTACCACCAGAACATTATTTCTGTTCCTTGCAGTGAAGAACAAGAAGATGCAGCTTCAAGTACGGGTGCCAAAGGTCCAAAAAACCGGGAGGTGGGAAGGGAGAGGTGCAAGAATGAAGTGGAAGTGGAAGATCATGGCTGATTCTTATCACCCACCTTGAGGACAAGGTGGTTGTTCGGGGGGGGGGGGGGGGGGGGGGGGGAGTATTGATAGGAATCTGGCTTAGTAGGCTATTAATAAGAAATAATAATAAAAATAGTAAAGGTACTTGTCGTAGTATGTTTAAAAGGGAAGGGGATATTAGTAATAGCTGACATATCCCTTTGTGGATATTAGCTATAAATAGATGGATTAGCAACGGTTGTAGGCAGATTGTTATTTGATTTGAGTGTTGCCTTGGAGAGTGGGCTTCTCGAACAGTCCCGTTGTTGCCTTGTTACCTACGTTTACCTTCCCTATCAATAAACATTACTTTCAATACTTTGTGGCCAGATCTGTTTTTATTGATTACTGCTTTTGCGTGGATTGTATCAGAAAGAAGACATGACACTTGTCCTGTGTAGGTATTATCAAGTTTCTGCTGGTTTGAAGCTGCACAAATCACTGTGTTCTGACTTCTGATTCTGACGATCATTGACCTAACAGCATGTCTTCTTCATATATGTATACAAAATTCGAAAGCGCTTTACTAGAAAAGGTTTTGCTGTGTAAACTCACGTCGGGGCAGAGGTAGTGACATTTAAAACCTATCATCTATCTAGAAAATTTATACTAATCAGAAAACCTCCATTATCCTCTTCTCAGAAAATACAAGTTGGACAACTCTAGAAACAATGTTGCTTTGGACAATAACTACAATAAGTTTGGTGCTGGCTTCATGCAACAACTATAGCGCTAACTTTAGAATTTGGATGGTGATGAAGTGACTTTGGATGGCTCAGTGAAGTGACAATGTGTGTCGTGTGTAGTGGCTATGGAAAAAGGGATGATACAAAATATATGGTTATAGTTGATTGGAAAATTTTGGTTTAAAAAATTATACTGGTAAGTAAAAATCCATCATTTGCAATGGAGCCAAAGATTCATTATTTTTTGGCTTGAGAATATGATGGAATAAAGCAAAATGGCTCACTAGACTGTCTGCGCTTCTTTGTTATGAAGCAATAGTCAGTCCATGCAATTTTGGACGCGATTTTCACTATGGGTCATCCGGAAACAGTCTCTCTGTGCTTTAGTACAGGGGTAAGACTGCGTACATCCGACCCCCTTACCCCACCGTAGGTGGCAGCCTTTGCGGCACTGGGGTAAATGAAAATGAAATGATCAAGTAAAAGTTCACATATATTTCAACCTGCAAACAGTTTATACTGAGTTACTGACAGTTGAAGCAAAGCTACCAGACTAGACAAAGGTAATACAAGCGAGACTGAAAATAAAAAATGTAAGCCTACAATCTGATCAGAATAAATAGATAGATACCAGCACTACGGCACTACCCCAGCCCATAAGAAGTGAAGGTTCACCTTTGAATGAAAAATGACAAATCCCACCCTATGGTCACATGGCATATCCAACATAATCCCAATGCAAACCCTCTGATCTCAGTTTATCCCAATGCATACCCAATAGCAGAGAGAAAAGACCTGACCTGAAATGAAGCTCCCTGACCACTATGGTTACTTGATGTAAGGGGTGGTGTACTTTTCTGGTAGTACATTCCTACAATTAATCATGACAAATTTTCTCAACATACCACCCAAAAAACTTAACAAGGCATGCACGTGCTCACACACATGAATCTATACCCGATGAATCATTAAGAGTCTGTTGTCCATCATTAACGATGAGAATGTCCACCAAATGTACAGGAAGCGAAGAAGTGATCTGCCGTTGGTCTACAGGTACTCGCAACCCTGAAAAGGAGAGATATGATGTGAGCTAGAAGCCACATCTCCCATTCATTCTTTTTTTATTTGGGGGGGGTTAATGCTTTAGTGCCTATACAATTTTCTTATAGCATTATAAGGCCACAGCTTCCCTGTTTCTTTTACATTGGATAGCAATAACATGTCCATGCGTACACACATACACAGAGTGATCGGCCATGCTTCTGACATTAAGTTATTACTTATTAACAATTTCCATCATCAGGGAGTGAGAGTAAAAAGAACCAAGGGCTTTCTTAACTAGTTGGCAGCTAAGTACTATTAGCATCAAGTTCAAGACATAACAACAATTAATAATAATGAACTTAAAATGATAATGGTAGAAGTCTAAAACAAATGATCAGCACATAAGTAGGTATGGAGTAATAAAGTTAGATAAAATTATATATGAACTTAGTAAGTATTTACAGCATCAAGAAAAGTAGAAAACCCTGAAATATCATTGTTGAGTTGGGATAATAATGAGATAAAAGCCTCAGAAAATAGTGTCAAATGACTTTTATACTCTGCTTAAAGCACCAAATACATATTACATAGCAGCTCTTGATTACAATGAATTCTCATCTCATGCAAACAATCCAAATGTATATAAAGAGGAAATGTCAAAGAACAAAAGTATCAAAGTCGGGACATTTATTAACATGAGGGAAATGTTATAAAACATAGAACCTTCTCCCTGGTTTACAGCAGTTCGAAGTAAAGTTTCCTGCTCCTGGATTTTAGCAGCTTGTGCCTTGTCTATAGTTGGAAGAATCGTGGGCCCCTGTCGAGTGCCAAAATAGGCTTTACGTGTATCAGCTATGACCTTTTCAGCACTTTCACAAGCTGCTCCAATCATGTCAATTCGGTTCTACAAATGACAGTAGAAGGAACCTCAGAATGCATCACAAAAATAACATGAAGAATAAAACTACTTAAATAAATTGAAGAATAGGGATTGCATGATTACCTTGAGCTTCTCTATTTGTGAGGCCACAGAGAGATTTTGCAAGCCAAGAAGCAATTGCTCCCTTTTGGTGTTATCATCCATTTCCATTTCAGGCAACAACTTCGATGATAACATAACAGGTAGAACTGCGTGTGCAGGAAAGCAGTACTCAGAGGTTTGATTATGGACAAATCGAAAAGAACAAAAAGACTGGAACTCAGGCATAATACAAATATGTAATTTAATGAAGGACATACTTGTAGCATTCTCAGCATTAACATTCTTTGGATGCACAACGAACGCCTTAGAAACCTTTTTTATGTCTTCAACTATATTAAACAGCTCCAGGTTGACCATCGAAAACTGCCCTAAAATGTCTTGCCTGATATTACATGACACACAACAAATTATTCATAGACTCATAGCAAAAAACTGCACCTATTTGCATAGAACTTTTCAGTTTCAGATTGATACCAAATATTAAGTGTTTACCATTTAGGAACAGCATTGGTGCGTGCTATGGCATCAAAGTCTTCAAGTATGCGAGAGATGGCTTTAAAGAGGCTGATAGCTCGAGTCTTGACAGATTCCAGGTTAAGCTGCTGCTGGACAGCAGGTATCAGCTTCTCCACAACCCTAGCAGGTTGATTTTGTGTCAGTTGTTGATCCTGAGCTCCCACCTTTCCTGCCATGGCTGCCATGGACGCACGAGTAGGCTTTTTTAGTCTAGTTCATTCATAGGTAAACTTTCAATATTGAAGTGGCCGTTGGCATAGTAAGGCGGAAAGCGCAATAGGATAACATATTGATAAGTTTTCTCGCAAAAACTGAATGACAAAACAATTAATTAATTAATTAATAATTGTAGCCAACGTGAGATACACCAAAAGAAGAGATAAAATTCTGTCAAAGAATTTAGAAGTATCCAAATTTCCCTATTTATATTCCCAGAACCTAATGATAAAAATAACCAAATGTCCTAATTCTCTTCGATGTGGAGATGATAATAATACAAAGCAAGATCTTTGAGGGGCTTTAAAACCTTCAATTTCCTATTTTAGTTCTGCACAGGGGCATAGCCAGGACGGACATTCGGGGGGAGGGGTGTAAACTAAAAACACTAAGTTAAAAAATGAAGCGAGTAAACAGTTTGAACATAATGATTAAAATTCATAACATCATTTTTAAGTACATACAATCATTTTCATTTTCATTTACCCCAATGCCGCAAAGGCTCCCACCTATGGTGGGGTAGGGGGTCAGATGTACGCAGTCTTACCCCTGTACTAAAGCACAGAGAGACTGTTTCCAGATGACCCATAGTGAAAATCGCGTCCGAAATTGCATGGACTGACTGCTGCTTCATAACAAAGAAGCGCCGACAGTTTAGTGAGCCATTTTGTTTTATTCCATCATATTCTCAAGCCAAAAAATAATGAATCTTTGGCTCCATTGCAAATGATGGAAATCTAAGTCCATACAATATATGAACTAAAACATTAACTGAACATGACTGATTTTGGTTGACTCAGCCTTTGTAATAGTTTTGTTTCAGTTGATAAGGTCACAACATCAAATGGGATCATCTGATTTCATCTCTTTTCTCTAACATCAAATGATATCTTCTGATTTCTTCTCTTTTCTCTAATAGCTAATGAAATGATTTTTTCCGTTTTCTAAATCCCACTCAATTTCTACCTCATCAGAAACTAATTAATCTTGAATGGGTGAAATAGTTGAGTATCAATCAAGTTATTTGACTGCTGTTGTTTTCTGTACTTGTAGCAGACTTAAAAACAATGCAGTATGGTTTTTGCCTTTTTAGAAGTGGATTTGGTAACCATGCTTAATTAAATTGACAACAATTAATAAAATAATCAATATATTATTTCCGATCACATAAATCATATTGATATGTTAAAAAACACAAGCCTAATTGAGTAATTTCCAATTTTACAAATGAAATCACACCATGACACAAAGACTCCACCAAAACTTGAAGTTCACACTTTACATTCTAAAAAAATTGTACAAGTAAAACAGTCAAACAAACAATCTCAAGAATTCGATATTTCAAGCTATTAGCTACCTAAATTAAAATGAAAAATTTAAAGAATAAACACTTATCAGTTATGAGTTTATGGCTGACCTGGTGCGTGGGGGCTGGGGAGATAAGCGGAGCTACGGAAAGCAGCCACTCAGCCAGAACTGCCACAAGGCCGTAAGCTGATAAGTGAGATTTTGAGAAGCAGACTACCACGCAGCAGAGGCGGGCGGCGGGACTGCGACCTTGCGTCCTTCGGTCCTTGACTCCTTGGCTTCTTCCGACTCGCCGAAGTGCCGGACAGGATCGCCGGATTGGGTAATGGGCTGGCAGCATGGCTCTGGGCCAAACTAGTAATCTCACTGGGCCAGTAATATTGTTTAGTGGATATTAATCACACTCCGTTTTTCTTTTCTTTTATTTTTACGTGGAGTTGGGGTGTCGGGGGTTGGGGAGCCGGATTAAACTGAGTTCACTTTCACTCCATAGAATGAGTCCGCTACCTGGGCCGCTTCCTCTCTATTCACACTCCGTTTTCTGCTAAATATACACCCACGTTTCATAATCTCACCTATGCCCTTAAAGCTTAACAATTCAGTCCAACGACATGTGCTCTTTTCACACAGTCCGCTTATGTCCGGGCATTCCGATCAAGAGTTGGAGTCCTGGAGAGCACGAAGCTATGAGTAAAATTAAGAATAAATTCATGAATCATTGGGAAGGATTATTGACAAAATCTGGTGAGCCATACTTGTTCGTGCTGCAATTGATTGTCTGAAACCTTTGGATTGAAGAAATTGGCAGACGGTTTGAGCCAACTATGGATTAAAGATGCCCCTGTTATCTATGTTTTTACCGGCAAAATCTTTCTCACTGTTAAGCATCATGTAAATGGAGGGCCTCCTATTAATCCGAGAAGTTACCTTTAACCCTCCACCTCCATCAATCCAGTTCAGCGCCTTTCTAGTCTTCGTGTTCCGCTACGCCTTACACAAAGTCTGGCATTCCGACCCGCAGGCTGTCGCTGGCTCAATATTCCAACTCTTGCAGTGTGGCGTTGCCAGTGGGAGTGGGGGTGTGCTTTGTAAATGAGAAAAGTGTCAGTTCAGTACCTGAACTCACGGCGTCTGGCGTCAAGAGTACCTCATCTAGCAAATGAGTTCCAACGGCACAGCAATTGTCCAAACGCGGGCTAATTTGGTACCTCGGCCCATTAGTTTGGATAAAACGCTGAGGTGGGCAACAGATTACTTATGTGGCCAAAGATTTACTTACTTGGCAAAATGAAACAGTCTTTGAACATTATCGGTCGTTAATAGCGCGCAACCATAACCCCTTGCCTTGTTACGCCACTTACAAACGAACAGAACGGTGGATTGAAGCCATTGTGAAGAAATTTGACTTCTTGAGTTTCAGATGGAGATGGAGTCTTCTCTTCAGAGGTATTGAAATATATTTCGTAAGCAACATTTTTATTACCATTCCAAGAATGATATGGATAATACAATTTTTATATACAAGAACGTATACTTGCATTGCTCTGGTGAAGTAAATTTAGGGTTGTAAATCGCTTAAGCATAATATTACAGTGATGAACACTAGTGTGTCACCATTTATTAAAATGTAAAATGTGGGTGTATAGCAATAGTTTATTTCTGTCACATGCTATGAAATTATTTATGAGCAAGTAATTGTGTTGGATTGGTTGTTGGTAACATACTTATGATTGGTGCAGACAAACAATGGATGGCCCTACTTCTAATGTCCCCTTTGCTGTTGATCTGGGCTTCCAAGATGCTGTTATTGAGGCAGAAGCATGCCTCTTATTTGAACAAGAATATAACTCAGAAAATGAAGATGATGAGGAGCTAAATCATGGTAGGAGTCTGCTAAGGAAGCTGGTCACCAATTCAAGGATTCATAATCAGCCCAAAGGTCCAAATACTGATAACCAACCCACACTTGAAGAAGAGGAAAGTTGGGAAGAAGATGGTTATGCAACTGAATACTTCAGTTCTAGTGAAGAAAGAAGCTACAAATCTGGTTAAGATCCTGAAGAAGAGAGGCTGTCAGAGTGAAATCCAGATTTTCAAGCTTCAATCCTGAAGATAAAGTATCATTTTCTTTGGGAATGAGCTTTGAGTCCAAAAGTGAAGTGAAAGATGTCATGGATAAATACTCTGTCAGTAACAGGTATCCCTATTATTGGGCAAAGAATTGTGCCAACAGGGCTAAATGCTCTAATTTGAACAAGGAATGTAGTTGGATGGTCTACATTGCCATAGACAAGAGGTGTAGCCGTAAGAAGTGGGTGGTGAAGACTTCTAACAGTAAGAATTCCTGTAACCCCGGTTGGCAGCTACCCTGTGCCACAGCAAAGTGGATAGTCAAGAATTTTTTCAATACTAAGCCAGGAGTATGTGAGATGAAGGTGGCTGCAATGAAAGAAATGGTTAAGACATAATTGAACTGTGAAGTATCCTTGGAGCAGATGAAGAAAGCCAAAGCAATGCTCAGAAAGTTGGAAAAGGAGAATATAGAGGCAGAGTACAAGGATTTTGAGGATTATAAGGCTGAAATTATGAGGTCAAATGAAAGAAATACATGCATTCTGCAAGCGAAGCAGCCCACTCCAATTTTTTGACAGATTTTATGTATGTTTTCATGCCTGCAATAAAGGATTCCTGGAGGGATGTAGAAGACTAATTGGAATTAATGGTGCTTTTTTGAAGTCTGAAGTCAAGGGGGAAATTCTTACAGGTGTGGGAAGGGATGCCAATAATCAGATGTTTCCAATAGCATGGGCAGTTGTGGGTTCTGAAACAAAAGCCACATGGAAGTGGTTTCTTGAAAATCTAGGCAGTGATCTAAACATAGGAAGAGGAGATGGTTGGGCTTTTGTTTCTAACCAACAAAAGGTTAAGTTTCTAACTTGTATTCTTTAACTAGTTTCTTACCGCGCCATGCGCGTTTGCTAAAATGCCCAAGCATACATTTGATTCATGGCAACTTATTTCTTTCTCATGTGTAAAAAAAGTCCTTGAGATTAATAAACCGGTTCCGTTTCTTTTTTAAAATTGTCTGAAATAGGAGTAAAACATAAGCATATTCACTAAATAAGAGCCCATGCATGATTTATATATTTTTAATATGATTAAACGTTATCTTTCTAACCTTAATATAATAATTGCTTCCCTAGTTCTCCAAACAAACTCAGGGCAATCTGGGAGTGGTGAGAACATTTCGACGACAGAATCCCAGCGATTGGCGTTGGCAGCGGAATCCGGTGATTGGCGGCCACGATTGCGGTAGAGTTCTATCGGCAGCCACAATCTAGTGGCTAGTTGCAACCCCTGCGGGGTATATTTTTCCAATCACAAAAAAAAACTCTTATTTAGAAAATTGTATACATCAACTCCTATTTTTACATTTCTTAGATGTTTTATTCTTATTGTGGGAAATATTATTTTTCTTCGTTTTGAAATAAATTATGATCTAAGTATATTGTTTTCGGTAGAGGTGGGCAAAACGGTTTGGTTTAACCGAACCGAAAATGGGTTTACTTAAGTAAACTGTTTGGTAAGAATTTGCTCAAACCGAATGGTTTGGTTTGATTTGGTTTAAAACCGAAAAACCGTAAACCGAACTGAACACCGAACAACTTACACACACACACACACAATGTATTTATCTTCACTCTTCATTTTTTAGATATAAATAAACAATTTAGACATGAAAAATACTTATTTAACATATACCAATTTAACTTCTACACATTTCATACATTCATTATGACTAAGTTAGCTAATACGACATATTTGTTTTTGTTAAGCTTAAAACCGAAAAACCATAAACCGAACCGAACACTAAACAACTCTCTCTCTCTCTCTCTAACATACACACATTGTATTTATCTTCACTCTTCGTTTTTAAGATATAAATATATAACTTAGACATGAAAAATATATACTTAATTATTTAACATATATCAATTTAACTTTTACACATTTCATACATTCATTATGACAAAGTTAGCTAATACGATATATTTGTATTTGTTAAGTTTGGCGATAACAACAACAGATTGCATTTATATTTTTTACATGATTCATTTAAATAAAATTGTGAATATTACAACATTTGTACCACCGTCTCCTTTAGTATTTTGAATATTCTATGTGATGCTCCAGATTATAAATGCTAATCAACTATAATCTTATTTTTTTGTGAGAAGTGAATCTTTTTCCGGTGATCGAAAAGATGTTAAAAGTTTTAATTTATAATATTTTATTATTTCTTTTTTTCCATCGTTGATTTCCTTCTACATTTTACTTAAATAATCGATAAAAGAAGATGAGATGGACTACTACTTTCATTTGCTAATTCTAAAATATAAGAATTTAATAAAATAAAATTATAATAAACATAAGAAATCAAATCAAATCGAACGAAATTAAATCTAATACTTTTCACTTTGGTATACCAAACCGAAACCAAACCGAAACACAAATGGTTTTAGTTTGGTACAAATTCTCCTAAGCTGAATAAATTGTAACCGAACCGAAACCAAATTAAAGAAAACCAAACTGCAAATTAAACGGAAGTGCTCACACCTAATTTTCTGTGTGTCAAAAACATTTAGTTAAGTATTATTTACCCGTGTGAGTGGGCAAGAAATAACATGTACACATCTATCTCTTCAAATTGGATTATATACTAAATACTCTATTAACTAATTAAAGTGGTAACGTACACTTTAGTAAATACTTAAAGGGGCTGGAGGAGAGGAAACACTTGATAGATGATGGGGGGAAATACTTAAAGGTGCACTAACGATCAGTAACACCATAGTCCTCGACCGTTAAAGCTAATAAGGAATATGATTTAATAGGTACATGAATGTTTACATGATGTACAATAACTTTGTGCAAGAAGAGACACCAACATTTTTTTATCACTATTATACCCTTGACAATATTCACTTTTATAATGTTCTAGAGATATCTGTTGTAATGTGCCTTGTATGATATTTAAAAGGATTTGTAATATGACTTGTAATATGCGTTATAAAATGATGGCTACTATGATGTCTTACATTCTTGATTAGTCTAATATTACTAATATTAGAGGATTAGTAATATTACACTCATTTTAGACTCATTTTACTCACTGAGAAGGCAGTGTAGTAATATTGAATTGTAAATGACTTCTAACATGACTTGTACTTCAAAATGGCTGCTAATATGAGTCTAATATGATGTCTTCACTTGTAAATGTCTCACTTATATGACTTGTACTTTCACTTTAGTAATATTGATTTCTGTAGTGATGATTTGTAATATGAGTTTAGTCATATTGAATTCTTAAGTTCTCTATATTTGTTTTCCTTTTGCAGGGATTAATGCCTGCTTTGTATGAGACATTTCCAGATGTTGAGCATAGAAGATGTGCGAGACGCATATATGCAATATGGAGAAGAGACCACCCAGAAATTGAATTACAAAGAGCATTTTGGAAGTGCTGCAAGTCTGCCTCCAAGAGGGAGTTTGAAGCAAACCTTGAAAGCTTGAAGTCTCTTTCTCCATCTGCACATGAAGACATTCTGAAGGTAGATCCTAAGTTCTGGTGCAGAGCTTTCTTTAATAGGAGCATTAAGTGTGAGACTGTTGATAACAATCTTGTGAAGCCTTTAATGGAGTTATAGTTCCAGCTAGATCTCTATTGGGTTATTCCCAGTTGGAGTATATTAGGAAATTGGTCATGCAAAGACTGAACAAGAATAGAGAATTAGGAGATAAATGGATTGGACAGTTAGGGCCTAGGATAAGGAGGATCAATAAAACAATACAAGCAAACAACTATTGGAGGGTGCAGTTTAATGGAGCAGATGGCTATGAAGTGTCATGTGGGTCTGACACTTATCTTGTTGACTTGGACAATAGGAGTTGCCTGTGTGAACAGTGTGATGTTTCTGGGATCCCCTGTAAACATGCCATTTGTGCCATTAGGGATAGAGGTCATCCAATTGAGGAGTATGTCACTATGTGGTACAAGAAGGAAATGTACACTCATACTTATTCTGAGATGATGACACCCATAGTTGGGCCTTTATTCTAGCCAAAGTGTGACTTCAAAGTACTACCTGCTGAGTTGAAAACAAAAGAGATGGGAAGGCCTAGGGAAAATAGAATAAAAGAAATTGGAGAGTTTCCTTCTAGTGGGAAGTTGCCAAAGAGAGGTACGACCATGACCTGTCAGCTATGCTTCAAGAAAGGGCACAACAAAAAAGGGTGTCCATCATAAGAGGTGATTATGCAAGGCTCAACTACTTTCTCCAGTGATCTTCAAGATAACAGTTGTGTGATGGAAGAGACCCCTTCTAATTTGCAACCTGCAACTTCAAAGCCTCCAAGAAGAACATGTGGAAATTGCTCCCGACCTGGGCACACTAAGAACAGGTGTCCTAAAAAGAATACCTCAACTCAGGTATGCATAATAATTAATGTAAGTTAAATATTTTATGTATTTCAGTGTTACATGATCAAATCAGGCATTTATATGTATGTGGTTTGCAGGAAAGTAACACTGGCAAAGCTCCTCAAGAAGAAGAAAATGGAGGTCCAAGTATGTTGAAAGCATACTTCTCTGACTCGCAGGGTACAAATGACACACCTACTGATGGTGTCTTTGAGTTCAGGGGGCAAAGATAGATCAATAAGTGCTCAAGGTTTGGAGGTAATGCCTAAGTTCACATTGACATTTAACTTGGTATAAGGAGAATTTGTGTCATGGTATGTGTCATGCAATTTCCATTTTTTTTGTTTGTTTACAGAGAGTTAGGGCAAGGAATTGAAGGCTAAGGAAAGGAGTGTCAATGCTCAGACTTTAAGGAAAAGGCATGGTGAAGATTTGGAACCTACTGGTACTTCCACAACTGCATGACAAAGGTTTAATGAGCTGTATGATTCCATGGAAGGCAATGCTGGGCAGTAGACTATGAAGTTATTATTGTATCTATGTATTAGTTGATGCAACAATATTTTATTACTAGAAAGATCATACTACCTATTTTGCATATATGTGGGTGGTGTTTTTGATCATATGCTTTTTTGAGATGTATTGGGACCGGCTTACATGCTTCAATTACAACTGTATTGGAATGCCAATGTATCCTTAATTACTTACTTTAGAGCTACTAATTTTTGGTACCATGTTTGTGGTCTGTGTCCCACTCATGGTTGCAACAAAAGCTCATATGTGGTTGTTGTAAAGTACTTCATGGTTTCATAAATTACTTCCTCCGTCTCTAAATAATTGCAACACTTTCCATTTTTGGCAGTTTCAAATTAATTGCAACACTTCCTTTTTTAGTAAACAGAAATGAGTGCAATGTCTTTAATGCCCTTAGTTAATTTATTCCAACTTTTTCTCTTTCTTCTCTCCCCAACTGCCATATGCTTCCTCCTCCGTATTAATTTGTGGCCATCAACTTTCCACTCAACTCTTCTCTTTCTTTTCCACACCCCCACCCCACTATTCCTCTCGACCGATCACTCTCATATTCACACCCCCATCCTTTTCTCCTTCACCGGTCAGCCTTGAGCCCTTCATCCTCCCAAAGAAAATAGATCTGATTTTACGAAATGGAGATAAGAGATCTAAAAGCAAACGACGCAAATATGTTCGCTCTGCATATTCCTCTGGACTTCGACCATTCAAGTTCCAGACTTGGCCGTTCCAAATGATGTGGTTTATCATCTGACTTTTGGATTTCAAGGCTTATAGAAAAGGTTAAAAACTATAGCCCTACTTTTTTGGATAGCTTAAGGTTGCAGAAGAATTTCGGAGGAAAATGTTAGTGGCAGAAGACTAGAAGACTGGAAGACGTACTGTCTATAGTTTTATACTCGTAGTTCATGCTTTGGGGAAGAACTTTTTGTTTTTAACTTTTGGTAATTTCCCCTCAGATTTTTGTAAGGTAATTTTAATGTATTGGGGAAGAGTACTGTTGTTGTACAGTAAATCTGCAGCCTTTCTCAAACCTCATTACGGTGGTACTAAAGTCTCAAGGGCATAATAGGAACAAAATTACTTTATTGATATTTCTTAAATCTTGTGCACAACATGTATGTTGCATCTATTTAGAGACGGAGGATAGTATTATATAAATTTATGTTCATGGTTGTACTACTATTTTAAGATTCTTGAGGGAGTTCATTATGTCATATTAAGATTATTTCATTTAGACAAAGGAGTTCAGAGTATGCCTATGATTTGAGGTCATATCTGTTTTATGTTCAGTATGTAATTAAGGTATATTTGGACTGATTTGAGATCAATATCAGTATTGACAGGTTTTGAGGTCATTAATTAGCCAAATGGTTCAGTATGTATTTGAGGTCTATTTGGCCTGATTTGAGGTCAATATCAATCCATATCTTCAGGGTTTGAGGTCATTGTTTACCCAAATGGTTCATAATGTATTTCAGGTCTATTTGGACTGATTTGAGGTCAATATCAGTCCATATGTTCAGGTTTTGAGGTCATTGTTTACCCAAATGGTTCAATATGTATTTTCAGGTCTATTTGGACTGATTTCAGGTCAATATAAGTCCATGTGCTCAGGTTTTGAGGTCATTGTTTAGTCAAATGGTTCAGTATGTATTTCAGGTCAATAACACTGAATATGATGTTCAAACTATTAGTGCAAAAAATAATTGAACTTGTACATCATTCTGGTCATATATCAGTCCATAGCTGTCATATTTCAAACTAACACACATGAAAGTCATTATCAGTACAACACATTACAACACTTCTCATACATCATACCAAATAACTGATACATTACAACACTTGTTCACCTTAAAGTCAGACTTCATATTTGAGAACTGATACATTACAACATTTGTCATACATGAAACCTAACAAAGTGATACATCAAACCAAGAGCTACAAACAAATCAAATGTAATTAAGTCATACATGAGTTCCTAAAACACACACCTACTTTAGATAATGTAATAACTGAGACTCTACTCTAACTTCCATTCCAACCAATCCTTGCCAGCATCACACATCTTCCAAGATACCATTTTCTTGCTTCTATTGTCATAGCAAACAGCCCATATCACTACCACCATTAATCCTGCAAGAATAAACCACAATACACTCCAAAACATCTGTTTCTTAGACAACCCTTTTTCCCTTGCCTTCTCATCAGCAAGCTCAGCTTCCAATCTGTTTATTTTCCTCAACAAACCCGGAATAATCATCTTCGACCTATAACAGATTTCCTCATCAAGCCATTCGAACATGTTGCAGCAGGCACATGTACCCTAATAGAATGGCATATCAACAACAACAAAAAAATTATGGCATATAGAGAAGTCACATTACAAGTCATATTACAACTGATATTAGAACTAATATTACAAGGCATATAAGCATACATTGTACATATCATACAAGGAACATCTGTACTAAAAAATAACAAACACATAAACATTCCATCACCTTACTCTTGAACACGCAAGGAATCGTCTCCCTGGATTGTCATTTGTCCATGAAGTCAGAATCTTTGCTGGAATTCCACAGTAGCAATTTCCATAAGACATTTGCGTTCTTCCCGAACCTGAAAAAGAAATAAAATTTGTGACTTGGAGACACCGTTTACCACACCTAAGTAAAATGTCAGAAGAAAAAACAAGAACCAAACCACCGGAGCCAGTATGCGTATGCCGGAGGGGAGGAGATAAAAAGCAGATGAGTCGGAGGAAGAAGAACTCCATATCCTAGGGTTTGGTTCGTAATATAAGAAGAGGAGGGAGGACGCTGACTTGGAGGCCATTGTGTACCTAACAAACATGTTTAAATTGGCCATGTTTAAATTGTGTACCCCAGTAATCCGAACTAATGGGCCGAGGTACCAAATTAGCCCGCGTTTGGACAATTGGTGTACCGTTGGAACTCATTTGCTAGATGAGGTACTCTATACGCCAGACGCCGCGAGTTGAGGTACTGAACTGACACTTTTCTCCTTTGTAAATGTAAAAGAGGTAAGGGTCAATTGAGTACATCAACCTGTATGCGGTGGAGTAAAGAGTACGCTATATTGCATTTGATCTTTTTTAGTACACAAATTCGGATTTGTAGTGTTAATTGAGTACCCCCGTTAGATTAACACGTTAATACGGCTGAGTTGTCTAACGGAATGCTAATAGGTAGATTTCTTGAAGGTCGACGCCCGCCCCCAGCCACTTGACCGACTTCCCCTTGGTCGACAGTATTCCCCCGCAGGACGGCTCCTCCTTGGTTGATGCACCCTGCTGACCGACACCCCACGCAGGTTGACCTCCGAAGGTCGATTTTCCCTTTTTGGTCGACTTCGTGAGGGCCGACGCCATAACCTTGGCCCATTACCCCTTCTTACTCAACATTCCGTTAGCCAACTCAGGTATATTAACATGTTAATCTAACAAGTGTACTCGTTTAACACTAAAACCCTGAATTTGTGCACTTAATAAGATCAAATGCTATATAGTGTACTCTTTACTCCACTTCATTCAAGTTGGTGTACTCAATTGACCTTATTCTCAACTATAAAGTATAGGACAAGTGTACTTCACGACTTACTAAACGTGTTTATTAAGACTCACGTTAATAAGCGGCGGATAAAATAGGCAGTGTTGTAAGCTTATGTTTACTTCAAATGATTTAAAACATTGTTTAACATTAAAATGTCCAAAATAACCATATACATATTGTTGGGATAATGGACCCGGTCCAATGCTATCGGCCCACTATACATGGGCTTGGGCCTAACCCGACTATGGAAGATGGACCTGGGATTATTTATTTGTCTGTTGGGACGGCTGGCCCATGAGAGTGAGTGTTAGTTGTTTAACTGGGCCAAGATCATTAGTTTTAAGGCTCAATCCTCTTGCAAGGGCCTATAAATAGGTCATCCACTCTTTGTATTAGACATGTCACTTTTACTATAATGAATTGCTGCCGGTTTCTCTACTCGAAGTTATTTTCTACCAACATTGGTGCTTTCATTGAGAGTCATTCTCTCATTTTCTCGATAGAATCTTTGAAGAGGAAAATGACAGGAACATCAAGACAATAACAAGTTTTCGTTCACTCGTGCTGTGACGGAGGCTCCGCTGCCAATGGGGTACAGACCTTGCAACGTTGACACTTACAAGGGCATTTAGGACCCGCACCACCATATATCATGTTACTTGTCATATATGGTCATGATGGGGTACGAAGACGTCATACGATGCAGGGGATTCGCGGGTACGCTAGATGGCCCGACTCGGGAGTGGTATGGCACACTACCCGATGGAAGCATTGGGAATTTCAGGGAATTGGCTAAGCACTTCCTCCTGAGGTTCGCCGGCTCACGAGATGTGAAGAAGAACTTCAGCCACTTGTTCAGCCTAAAGCAGGGAAAGGAAGAGGCCATGTCAACTTTCTTGGCAAGGTGGAGGGCTGAGTCAATCAAGGTGGTATTCCTGAAGTGCAAATGACTAAATGACTAAGAATTTCAACACAATATTGGCTTCAAGTGCTGGTATTCCTGAAGCTAGGCAAGTATCTGAGCAAGGTTAAGATTCTATTAAAAACTTCTTAACTATTCAGAAACGTTGCACTGCTGGAGATGAATGTGCTTCTGAATCGAGGATCATATTGGATCATCCACTTTATAATTCTAAAGGTTAGCGAAATACACAAAAGAAAAGCATTATTGAAAAACAATGCAAAATAGTCAAAGCTCGCAAGTCCAAATGCCAACAAGTTTCATCTAATTCAAAAATAGTTGCACAATCAGTTGTACATGTATATTTTAGATTTATTTTAATTTTTTATATTATTGTACTTTTCGAGAGAAATTTTTTCTTCCTTATTGTTTTTATTACAGGACACTGTTAATTGCATGGAAAGTTGTTTTCGAGAGAAATTGTTTTTATTACGTGATTGTCTTGCTCATCCAGTTGGAGGAATGACTTCTTTGATGCCTATGTTTGGATCTCTACGAGTTTTCACTCCGAATCTATTTGATTGGATCTCTATTAGTTATATTCTCTTTACTGAATCTATTTACGAGAATGGCAATTCATGGACGAATGAGGGAAAATGACGCAAGGAGATATTTCTAGTGAAAATGGATGATTATTTTCACATCAGGGAATCTTCCATCGAGATCTTATGAAACGTAGTAATGATATCTTAGGAAATATTTGTTGCTCCTTTCATTCTTATGAAACATATAATAATAATTATGCATAACATAATAACTTTATGGATTGATTTGCTTATGCAGACAAATGATTTGATACCAGATATCGTTTGAAGACTCAAAGTTTATGCTTTTGGATTGAGTGCTCTTTCCCAGCAAATCTGGGTAATCCAATTGTTATACCCCCTTACCCTCGCAATGGTTTTCTCATAATAATCACTCAAAACTTTTGCAGTTAAAATTTGTTGGCGATTTCTGAGATGTAAGTTGTGATCATGTGGTTGTTTGGTAGCTACTCCTTACTTATCATCCTGAATTGAAGATAAATGAGTTATAGGTGTCATTGGGAAGATTGAGATACTAAAGCCCAGTGATATAAAACGAAGTGATGAAAGCAGTACTCATATTATTAGGATAAACTTTTCAGTATGATTATGATAATGCAATTGAAGAAAAAAAGATATGGTGTAACTTATGTACTAAGATACTCATTTAGATATTCATTTCTAATATTTGTGATTGAAGCCATCTAGAATTTGAAAACCATATTAATCGACCAGCTTCAGTATCTGTTACAGAGTACTATATATCCTAACTTGCAGAGTTTGGGAGATGATCCGGTGATCATAGAAAACTGTGGTGAAGATGTTTATCAACAAACTAAAACAAATGGAGGATAAGAAGATCCAATCTAAATACAAATGTACAACCATTGATAATATATGAGCTAGATTTTTCATGTAATTTAGAGGTTCTAAAGCTGTTATTACAAGGGAAAATGGAAACTAATAATCCAACCTTTTAGCGGTCTTCTTTTAACAGTCCCACCTTTTCGTTATTCATGAATAATCCAACCTTTGCACCTCATCTTCATTCACTGGTCCCTGACCGGTTGATGACCTGCTATTCCAAGTTATTTTCTTATCTTTGCTAAATATTATCTTTGTGAAAGGTGGAATTTATGGTATAATAGTTTGCAGAGATAAGAAAATAACTCGGAATAGCAGGTCATCAACCGGTCGGGGACCAATGAATGAAGATGAGGTGCAAAGGTTGGATTATTCATGAATAACGAAAAGGTCGGACTATTAAAAGAAGACCGCTAAAAGGTTGGATTATTAGTTTCCATTTTCCCTTATTACAATGCCTATTTCATGTGCTTATAAACTAAACCTATTAGGAAGCTTCAACCTCAAGTATGAATGTTAGCAACTAGACAACTGCACGGTATACTTTGTATGTGTGATGGTGATGGATCGGTTCCTATTCCTCTCCACAAGAACCAATACCAGTGTTGGACCGGTTCCTGTCGGGATATAGTGGGGTTCCCTATGATGGTTAGCTATGTGATGACGATCAATTTGTAATGTTACATTTTGAGCATCTTTGGTGACCTCGTTTTCATTAAACACATAACTTTTGAATTCATGTGTTTAAACTATTGTAGAAGACTATTTTAACTATTTTTTCAAATAACCTTTTTGTTATTTTATTAATTTTTTTTAAATATAATTGTTTTAGAACTCATCAAAATCAGTTGTAACACCCCGGCCCCACCGGACCCGAGGTAGTTACTCCGGACCTCTAGTACTGTCCTCACAAACCGCCACTAGCCTTTTCCGCGCACTTTGTCCTCACTCGTGCGCGCCCTGAGAAACTTCTCAGGGGTCACCCATCCCAAGACTACTCCCGTGCAAGCACGCTTAACTTTGGAGTTCTTGGTGATGAGCTCCCTTAAAAGGAGATGCATCTTGTTGGTATGAGTAGTACTATTAATCCATTTATATTAAATCTCAAGTGTTACATCAGTCAATCCAGCCACTTCGTTCTGAATTTCATAAGTTTCAACAGAATGAGTTGATCAAGCTAACTTTAGCGTTACCAAACGAGTTTTTTTCAAAAATATTACAATGTAGTGTCATAATAACAGAAATTTAAAAGCTTAATATGGAGCATAAGTTACTATAATTTCATAGTAAATTTAGTTACTAGTCACATTTTTGTAAACAGTCTTTATTTTGGTTATGAATATGTAATTATTTCAATGAAAAAACTGGTATACGTAATAAAATCAAGGAAAAAGGATCAAATAAGTTCTTCTACTATTTGCAATCCTTCACTTAAACCACTGTACTAAAAAAGTATCATATAAGTATGTCTACTTTTAAAATACAATCAACCAAGCTTTTTGACGTGATATAGCAAGTTATTTTTTTTATAAATAAATTAGGAATATTGATAAATCTTACAAAATCCATATAAGTTTGAATAAATAATCTAATAATAATATAAAAATAGTATAACATAAAAATAGATAAAATTAAAAATACTTAAAGTAAAAATAATAATCATAAAACTGAAAAACTAATGTGAAAATTAAAAAAAAA